TAGGAAGGTCATTATAAATAATAGCAACATTGTAAGAAAAACTGCGTTTAAAACGTGTAGACGTATGCAGGGGTATTCTAATATTATTTTCTCTGAGAGTTCTACAATGAACATCATTATTAAATAAAAAAATTTCCTTCAAGTAATAAGGTTTAGACGTGAGCAGCAATTTGTGAACAAAAACTGAATAGTGATACTTGGCCATGTCATTAATTTTTAACCAGTTTAGAACGGGATATTTCGCTGATACATGATCAAATTTACGTAAGCCAAAAATGAATCGTATACAATTGTTTTGATTAACTTGAATAACGTTTTTAGTGAAATTGTCTAAACAAGTATACGTAGTCATGCCATAAGTTCTGTCCCTCGTTTTCAAACAAGTGTAGACCTGTTAATACTTGTCCGATTGTTTACATTGTGGTGTCAGTTGATTAAGCGCTTTTCGGGTAATTACATATACCTCAGTTTGTATTGATCTCTCGAAGCATAACGATGGAGTGGGGCAAGGCAGAGAACCGTATTGCAGTGATAGCTTTACATAAGTGTAATCACAGTGCTAGTCAGATTTTTGAACTCTTACGCGGCCTTCAAATATCGCGTAAATTTGTGTCTAGGACCATTCAGCGGTACAATGAGACGTCCTCTGTTGATGACAGGCCAAGAAGCGGAAGACCTCGTCAAGTAAGGACTCCAGCAGCCATCAAAGCCGTAAAAGCCAGGATTCAAAGGAATCCACTCCGGAAGCAGAAGATCCTATCCAGGGAAATGAAGATTCCTGTCCGGACGATGTCGCGCATCATTAAACAAGACCTAGGGCTAGGGGCTTACCGGAGACGTACGGGCCAGCGACTTACGGCCACCTTGCGACACATCAGGGCGACAAGATCCAAGAAGCTCTTGGAGAGGTACGCAGCTGGGGGATTCCGAAAGATTTTGTTCACGGATGAGAAAATCTTCACCATAGAAGAAAAATTCAACCGACAAAATGACAAAGTGTATGCAAGGAGTTCACAGGAAGCTTCGGAGATCATTCCGAGAGTTGAGAGAGGCCACCACCCTGCGTCAGTCATGGTTTGGTGGGGGGTGTCCTACGAAGGGGTCACTCAGCTCCATTTCTGTAAACAGGGCGTGAAAACAAAAGCGGCAAACTATCAGAGCGACATACTGGATCCTATCGTCAAGCCTTTAAGTGGTACATTGTTTGCCAACCAACACTGGGTCTACCAGCAGGATTCCGCCCCCGCTCACAAGGCTAAGAGTACGCAGCGCTGGCTGGAAAGCAATGTGCCAGAGTTCATTGCTGCGGAAGATTGGCCCTCAGGGAGTCCGGACCTCAATCCTTTAGACTACAAGTTGTGGGACCTGCTAGAGCAGTTGGCCTGCTCCAAAGCCCACCGTAATATCGAGTCCCTGAAAGCGGATTTGATCCGATCAGCGGCAGCTATTCCTTTGGAAGCTGTGCGTGCAGTGATAGATGAGTGGCCCGCGAGATTGAAGCAGTGTGTGAAGGCCAAGGGGGGACATTTTGAATAAAACTGTTTGATTATGAATTCTAAAAATGTTGTCGAATAAATAATATCTTTCATATAAATATATCTTATCTTGTTTCATTTTTATCATGAGATTATCATGGGACAGAACTTATGGCACGACTACGTAGTATACAATATTACAATAATTTAGTATAGATATGACCAATGCTTCACATAGTTTTTTACGCAACTTAAAATTTAGTAAGTACCGGTTTGCTATAAGAGTGCGCAGCCGTAGGTAGGTTTTCTGAGATAGACTTTTAACATGTTCAATAAACCTTAATTTTGTATCAAAAACAACACCAAGAATTTTTGCAGAATCAGAAAATTGCAAGATTTGGTTATTTATCTGAATGTTCAAGAGCTCTGTTACATTGTATGTTTTTCTTTGCGCGCAAAATAATAACATTTTAAATTTTTGTGGATTAATAAGTAGATTGTGATCTGAGGAGTATTTAATTAATTTATTAAGATCGTTTTGTAAAATTTGAGTAGTATTATTGACATTATCTGGGTTAAAATAATGGAGCAATTGCGTATCGTCTGCAAATGACTGGACATGAGAATTATCAATACTTTTGCTTGAGTCGAACGTATATATGAGGAACAGAAGCGGCCCCAATACAGAGCCCTGAGGTACGCCTGAGGAAATTATTGTCACTTGAGACATGTCTTGATTGAGAAAAACACACTGAGTTCTTTGATGAAGGTAACTGTCGAAAAATGAAAGGGATACCCTGTCAAGTCCTATGTAATTTAATTTAGCAAGTAATAATTTATTATTGATGCTGTCTATAGAGATTAAGGCTAGTGCCATTTTCTTATCTAAGGCACTTAAAATATTGTCTTGCAGATTAAGTAGGGTAGATGTTGTACTATAATTTTTTCTAAAACCGGATTGAGTGTCGGGAAGTATAAAGAATTTTTCTAGGTAAGCGGTCAATTGGAACTTTATAATTTTTTCTAAAATGATTCTAGTATCGGGCCACAATTATTTCTAAAGCTGTTGCTTGACCAGTTTTGAGTCAATCTGTTCATTGCGATTTTTTTCAAACTGTAAGCTTTGCGTTGATAAATCCCTTTCCTCGCTACAAGGACCGATCTGGAAAACGACGCTATAGATTCAACAAGTAGTGACAGATCCTTTTAAAATCGCCAGTGGAATATATCGCTCAATGATGAACTGATTATTCAGTCGATTTAATAGATATTGGAAGGGTGGAAGAGAAGGAGCAAGTTGGAAATGGAAATGCCGTCGATTGGAATGCAGAGCTAGCTGTCGCGCGCCGAGCTACCGCATCAGAATAGTTCAACAAGTAAAGGCTAATGCTACTGGGGATGGCGAAATCCGCCGGTGCAGATCAGATGTGGGATGAGAACAGCGAGCGCCAGAGAGGAGTGATTTACTCTGAACGGGTGTATTCGACAGGAATATATATGACGCGGCTGATTGGAATAAGCATGAAGTAAGCTGCGTTTCAACGCTCATCTTGTGAACTGAATGGATTATAGATTCACAGCCGTTGAAATGATAAAAATTCAAAAAACTTGATATGTCATGAGGAAAGCGATGACTTTTACTTCCCACTAGCAAGGGAGTATTGTTATAACAAAAAATTTGGAAAATACGATGGCACTCATTGTTCCGTCCATAACCTGTAAAGTACCGTTTGGATTTTGACGGAGTTTTCACACACTGTTATTACGATGTCAAGAACTAAAAAGCTTTGTAGTTGCGAGATAATTAGGGGCAAAAAGAGAAAAAACAAAAATCGGCGAAATTTTGTTTTCTGACCTTTCTCATTTGCGAAAAAATTTTTGTAGAGGTTATAAGTTAGGGGGTTGGGAGGGAGGCGCTGGTTGAGAGTGAATCTCAATTTTTTGGCAGTAGTATATTCATACGCATTCAACCCCAATAATTCTACAACATACATTTGCATTTAAAACTTGGAGAAATGTCCAACAGACGCATCGCGTCTCGTTCGCATTTGCTGTACGCTACTAACTTATGCCAGTGCGCACAAAATCATGTCTGCGTCTGCCGCCTAATCGCTGACCGCTGCACCTCTCGTGCTGGTCAGCATAGCATGGCTGACGTTGCCAGATGGTCGATACTTTCACTAGGGCAAGGAATAAATTTCTAAATAGCATCGTCATCAAATGGGTGGGGGCTATGAACGAATTGTATGTGTTTTATAGGCGATTCGTTTTTCTTCAGAGGGGCTAACTTGTACCGAACATAATCCTTTATGACAGCGTTGCGTGGGAAGTGCAGAGTCAACCTACTTGACGCCATTTTTTCCATGAACAAGGAGGCATAAACCAGGAAATCGTAAAAGCTACAGATTTTTCTAAATAAAGCTCAAAATTAGTTTAGATGAATTCTGATTAACTTGTCGATACATTTTAAGAGATAAGAATGAAAAATATTTCAAAAGTTTGACAGCAGAACCTAAATTTTGTGACTCATGTAAAATGTTAAAAAAATATATATAGCTAGTTCGATGTTATATCTTCTAAAATTAGTAAGCAGAACCATTGATAACGTATTCTGCCTGAAGAAAGCCAACCAAAGACTGTACTGTATTGCGGCATCTAAAGATGAAGATATTTCCAGATGGAATACGTTAATCAATGCTCGAAGATACCCAATTCAAGTAGGCATTAGAGAGGCCCAAAAAGGATCGAAGATCCTAGGCTCATCTATGAGCCAGTAGTACACTCTAACCCTTTTCAAAGTAAACTTCTGAATAAATTTTTGAGTTCTGCTGCTATCTCATCGCGTTAGCGCCTTTCAAATCTCTTTTTGTACGGAATTTTGCGAGCACCGTTTGACGATTCTTCAAAACTGTGAGTTTTTCATCTTTGACATGATACTTTATTTTTAGGATTTCATCGGATTATTATATTTATTCCATCACAGGCACTGTAGCAATTCCTAAAAGCCATAAAACTATTCCCGCAAAATATCCAAAAAAACGAGTTCGTTAGCCTCTCGATCACAGCTGAGCATTTCCTGATTTTTTTCCAGCTCGAAAAACCTCCATATATTTTGATTTCTAGATGTTAAGAATTCTTAAAATTAATGCATATATCGAAATCAACAAGTTTCCATTTGTAATTCTATTGAAAATAATTAACAAGCGGCTTCAAAATTGTATTTTATCAGAGGAGTCCTTGTTTATGCAATGTGTTTTCTGTGGCATGGACCACCCATTTTTTTATTTTCGACACAACCAGATTGCAGCTTGTGTTTTTATCGGAAATGCAACGTTTTGTTTTATTGCAACAGATGCGTTTCAATAGTGGTTAGCATTGAGCTAATCATAAAATTCTATTCTCTGCAATAATCCATTTACTTTTATCATATCTAGCACCTCGCAATGACATGGATAAATGTTTTTGATGATAAATTATACATTTGAGAATAAATGATTCTAATGTTACACTGTGAACTTGAAAAAGATGAATAATATTGATGATAGTGGTTATGGATACTATTTTGCTGAATCTTTCATTTTATCGATGTCAAGGTAAAGCTAGTGGTTAGACATAATTGCAATAAAACTTTTCTATTAACATTTAATTTATCAGCCAGAGGCCATCCGACAATGGCGCATTTTGCAAAACTGTTATTCAGTTGGAATATCAATATTTTGCCACCAAGTGTATTCTCAGTGCTTTCACTTTATTCAAGCATTTCTGATGTTGACAATTTGCCACGAAATGTATGATGTCGTTTTTACGGCATCCGGAATAAAATTCAAATCTTTTTGGCCATTTCTTCGGACTGAAATACAGAGGATTTGAATAAATGTTTATCCAGTGTACCCAAAATCCGATCCACAGTTCTGCAGATGACAGCATTTTAACTGCAGTCATCTTGATGCCATTTCTAGGGGTGTCCACTACTAATATTGACACACTTTATTTACGTAGAAAAATATAAAAGAGCCTAAATTCTTTGATATAGTCACATATATTTATTCTGTTAGTATACAGGGTGATTCACAAGTCGTGACCAAAAATGAAACATCATACATTGGACCGCATTTCAACGAGGGTTTTGAAAATATTAAAAAAAAAAATTTTAAATTTCTATTTTTAAACTTCAACACCCAGTATCTTTTTAATGCAGCCCTCGAAAAAAAAATGTTACATAGAAGACCTGTGTATTATGTTTCATTTTTTGGTCACGACTTTGGAATCATCCTGTATATCCAAGTAAAGTCATACAACATTAAATTGACAAATGCTAGAAGTTTAAATTGAAAGAAAAAACCGATAAATTGCAGCTCCTTTCAAGGTACACAATCGAGAGGTTTTTCCTTTCCTGACAGAACAAATGTGAGCTTCGTAAGAGTAATTAGTGTTTTTGTAATGGTGTATAGTTGATGCGGGATTTGCAGAGAAAGTATCGGCAATCACGCCACGTTTCCACTCTGGTACTAATCAATTTGGTTTGACTGAACCGTTTGAATACCACGGGTTTGAAAGAACGTTAATTATTTAGCTGAAGCCTAATCTAGTGTTTGTGTTCGGGATAACGTGATTATCGCAGTAACTACTAAACAGGAAAATGCAAAATACTTTTACTTCTCACGCCTGCTGGCGAGGAATTTTATTCGGGAAAAAATACAAAAATGAGATATGTTTTTTGGATGGTATATGAAGCCACGTTCTCCTCATTTCCGTTGGTTTGTCTGTCAGTCCGCTAATCTATGGACCAGCTGGTACCGTTCAGATTTGCATGAAATTTTCACAAAAGGCTGCCCAGGACGAAAAAGCGTTATAGTTTTTAAAAATCAGGGCTAGGGTCAGAAACAAGAAAAAGTAACAATCACTCAAACTCCGTTTCAGAGGCTCGTACTCATTGTAGGGGTTGAAAATCGGAGGGGGTGGATGGGAGTTATGTCTCATTTTGTAGGCGGCAGTATAATTATATGCTCCTAACCCCAGTAATTTTACGCACCTATCAGTACATATTTCACACATCGGCCTGTCCCAGAATAGTTTGATACGCAGTGGAAGCAGCTAAAAGCCAATATCCTTTAAGTATCTGGCTAAATGAATAAAATTCTTAATTATAAAAATAATAAGAATCGTCTTTATTTAAACTGTACAATTTCAAACAGAGAAACAAGAGTTGCCTCTGGTTTCGAAGTTTAGCAACATGCTACTCTTACACTTAACCACCCATTCAAAATAAAAGAAGTTGTTAAGTAGCAGATATCAAACAATATATATATATATAAAGGGTGTCCCAAAATTAACGCAAGATTTGAATTTGCCGCCATTTGTGCAGTGAAGTGTTGGCAACCCTGAAAAAAAGCAATTTGACAGCTAACAGTATAGGGTTATGAAAAATGGAGCGTTACACGATAGAACAACGTGTCTTCATTATTAAAGAATATTTCAAAAATAGTGAAAGCTTGGCGGCTGCAGTTCGAAAATTTCATACAAAATATGGCCGGAATAGTGTTTTAACTTCGTCAACTGTGAAGAGATTAATTGAAAAATTCATGGAGACTGGATCCGTTGGAGACGCCAAACACACTGGTCGTCCAAAAACAAGCCGTTCAAATGTGAATATCGAAGCAGTGCGTGAGAGTGTTGCGGACAATCCAGGAACCTCAATTCGACGTCGTGGACAAGAATTGCAAATGTCAAGAACCTCTCTACAGCGTATACTCACCAAAGATCTGTGTCTTCATGCTTACAAACTTCAATTAACACAACAATTGAAGCTTAATGACCATGCAGAGAGAAGAGAGTTTGTTGAATGGATTATTGAACATCAACAAATGGACCCTGATTTTTCAAGCAAAATCATCCTAAGCGATGAAGCACATTTTCATCTTGATGGCTTTGTCAATCGCCAAAATTGCCGCATTTGGGGTTCGGAGAACCCACGTGTGATTGTCGAAAAAGAAATGCACCCACAACGCGTGACTGTCTGGTGTGGATTTTGGGCTGGAGGCATAATTGGGCCATATTTTTTTGAAAATGATGCTGGTCAAGCAGTGACTGTTACTGGTGCTCGATATCGCGACATGATTACACAGTTCTTTCTGCCAAAATTGAATGATATTGATGTACCCAATATGTGGTTTCAACAAGACGGTGCCACATGTCATACAGCCCGTGAAACAATTCAATTACTGCATGAGACATTTCCCGGTCGTGTACTCTCTCGTTTCGGTGATCAAAATTGGCCTCCTAGATCGTGTGATTTAACACCATTAGACTTCTTTTTATGGGGTTATTTGAAATCACAAGTCTATGTCAACAAGCCCACAACCACCCGTGCATTAAAGGAGGAGATTCAACGCTGCATCAACGAAATTCAGCCACATTTATGCAGAAGGGTCATGGAAAATTTCGACAAAAGAGTGCGCATGTGCATGCAAAGCCGTGGAGGCCATTTGTCCGATGTGTTATTCCATACATAACCCTATCCTATGTACTTTATGAGTCAATAAAAATATAACTATTAAAAGACTAAAAATGGCATTTTCTATTTAATTCAAATCTTGCGTTAATTTTGGGACACCCTTTATATATGTGTTGCATCAAGGTTTACTACATGTACACAAAGGAAGTAAAGAAACATTTAACAATATATATATAGCAATCTAATTAAGACTATGGATCCAAGCAGATATGAGATTTGACAGCTTTCTTGAAGCAATTTAAGGACATGGTTTTGAATTCAGGACTCAAAGCATTGTGCGTGAAAGAACGCTGGAATAAAGCTGTGGGGTGAATAGGTGTATTTATCAAATTTGGAAATCTAATGTGTCTATGATGAATATTACGCCTAAAGATCAGCTTTTCTCTTAAGAATATAGGTTTTGACATAAGTATTAGTTCATGAATGAAAACAAGGTAATGATATTTGACAGCATTTTTTGTTATCATCCAGTTTACTTCAATAAGACTACCAGAAACATGGTCAAAGCGCCTTAAACCGCAGATGAACCTAGCACAATTGCTTTGCACAATTTGAATCCGATTTCTAGTAACAACATTGAGACACGAATAATATCACAGTAGTTGAAAATCGACATAACCAAAGATGAGCACAGTTTTTTCCTTAGCTTAGAATTGAAAATTGCTTTATTGGCATATAGTGATCTCAGTCTCAAGTAGGTTTTCTTCAGAAGATTTTTGACATGACTGGTGAATCTAAGTCTTAAATCGATTACCACGCCAAAAATTTTAACCTCATCAACCGGGTACAGTCTTTGAGATCCAATTTTAATAGCCAATTGACTTTTAATTTCTTCTCTCCTACGATCCGAACAAAAAAATAACAGGCTGGATTTACCAGGATTTATTGACAGGTTGTGGTTATTCGAGAAGTCATACACTTTTTGAATATCATGGTTTATCGATGGCTGTGTCATTTACATATGATCAGTATCAAAATAATGGACCAGTTGAGTATCGTACTCCAGACGAGATTTCTAGAAAACTGGATTTATTGTAATCAATTGATACACATTGCGATCGATTTGATATATAATTTCGAAAAAACTTCAATGCAATTGGATCTATGCCATAATACTTCAACTATGCTATTAACAACTCATGATTTATTTTGTCAAATGTCTTGGAGTAATCGATTGACACCACTGCTACGCCCATTTTTTTATCAAGTGCTCTAATAATATTATCAACCAAGTTTAAGAGGAAAGTAGTAGTACTGAAAGATCTAAACGCAGACTGATCAGATGGGATGATATGTTCCTCTGCATAATACATTAGTTGTATGTGGGCTGCCTTTTCAACTACCTTCGATAAAAAAGGCAATAGACTTACAGGTCTTAGATCAGCAAACTCATCTGGATTTGTTATTTTTTAGAACTGGTACAACAATTGCTGGCTTCCACGTTTCAGGGAAATAACCTATTTCAAGGCAACTATTAACAAGGTGGCTGATGTAGATGAGAGTAACAGGCAGACTGAGATAAATCATAGACAAGCTCAACCCATCAGTACCTTTTGCATCGGACTCAAAAATAGAAATTATTACAGTTACTTCATGAGGCTCTAGAAGCCTAAAAGAAAATTTATTAATATGAGGAACATTTTCGTTATAATGCCTTAAAACGTGATAAGGAGCATTTGTGGAATCAAAAACTGATATGAAATAATTATTTGCCATGAACGAATCTGCAAGATGGCTTGGAATACGTGGTTTATCAGATGTCTGTGCTTTCATATTTTTCAATTCATACCACAATTTTTTCTGATCACGCCCTTTTCCCAAGTGAGGAAGATACGCCATTTTTTTATGTCTAATGCACGATAGTACAAGGTTTCTAAGTTCCTTAAAAACCTGCAATCTTTCTGGACTCCTGTCTATCTTGTATAAATAATATGCTCTCGTTCTTATAGGAGAGTGACGAATAAAGATGTCAATTAACTTGCTACTAAAAAATTGTACTTTATCATCAATATTCCTCATATAGACATTACAATAAAATTAACTGTAGCCAGGTCATCAATGAAAGATCGCTCATCAAAG